CAAAGGCCAACGAGAATGGAGAGCGCTGGCTTAGAGCTGGAGGAGATGGTTCAGATACCGTGATTTTGTGTCACCTCTCTCTCTTAAATGTCTTATTGCTATCTCTGTCTATGTATATTCATATTTGCCCCCGAATGACCTGGTTTCAGTAAACAGCAAAGCGCAGTCGCCTAGACGTAGTAGGAGGTGCAGGGGATGTGCCCTCCAGGACCTATCTGGCACCTCCCAGAGCACCTCGTTTTCACTCAGCCTTGACTGACTGAGTGTAGGCCCGGGTGCTGAATTCTCTCTGTCTGGGGCACGCGCAGCCCTGGGCTCATTCTGTACTAGAGCAAAGGACATGAGGGTGACGGAGGAGACTGACAACATGCTCAGCTGAGGGGACACTTGTCTCGCAGTCTGGAGCCCAGATCCGCCACTTTGGCCCCTGCATTGATGGGACGGGTGCAGTGGCACTGAGAAGCCAGGTCTGATGCCAGGGCAGCCACAGCACTTGTCCTGGATTGGAGCAGAGGCAGAAATCTCAAGAATAGGTCAAGGCAAATATTCAGATCTAATCTGAGAACTGTGTGCCTGTGGCTCCTCGTTGTGATATTTGGACACAGCATGGTGACTGTAGGTACACATTAGGCAATGGAGTTGCCTGCAATGCAAGTCAGAGAGGGCCTTGGTCAGAATCAGGACAAAGACATTGTCCTTGTCGTTCCTAATGGCTTTAGCGCTGTGATGGGAAGGCCTGGAAGCGGATGCTCCAGTTGTGTTGGAGTATGTGAGGAGCACACGAGCCTGCCCCAAGAGCCTGCCTCAAGAGCCCTGGGAACCAGCCTGCCTTGGGAGCCCTGCACACCAGCCCGTCCTGGGACCCCACCCTGGGAGCTCTGCCCACAAGCCCGCCCTGGGACCCCACCCTGGGAGCCCTGTGCACGAGCCTGCCCTGGGAACCCTGGGTATGAGCCTGCCCTGGGAGCCCAGTGAAGCTCTCGTGGATTCAGCCCTCGGCATTCTTCATTCTCTCCTGTGGAGCCTCCAGCATGTGCAGCTGTAGGCACTGCGGTGGGTCTGTGGCCTCTGCTGGACAGAAGTGACCAGAGGCAGCTGTCAACAGTGCCTAGAGGCCCTTCAGGCCGCCCTCGGGCCAGCGTGAGAGGCTCACAGTGGGCATCCTGGAGCGGATGGGGTCAGTGTCCTCAGTGTGAAGGCCAGGACTCAGCCCTGCCTGCATGCTGTTGTCCTTGGGCCTTGAAAGCTTTCCTGAAGAAAGCTGTCCTACTCCATGGGCTTTCAAAACCAAACCAAACCAAACAGCAGCAGCAGGACCAGCAACAAAACCCAAAGGAATGAGCCCTTGACCTTTCTTCTGGAGTAGAGGCTGGTTTCGCCTCAAGCAAATACAGTTTTCCCTGCAGCATGAACCGGCCCTCTCCCGTTGTTTGGGTTTGGAAAGCCAAGCCCAGCCCCACCCACTGGGAATGTCTCCAGTCTGGTGCTTCTGCATGGAGTCACCCACATTCACACCCATCTGCTGCTTTTCTACCTGGTAGATTTGGGCAAATACTTAGAGCCCTCAGGGTCTTCCCCTGCCCAGGGGGGGTCATCCTGTTATGCATACCTGCCTGGAACTCCATCCCAGCCATCCCCATCCCCTCTTGCATGGGGCAGCTGTACTCAACCTTCTCATTTCCCGGGACCCTGTTCTGGGGACCTTGTTCTGGGGACCTTGTTCTGAGGCCCCAGGCCATGCCCATCCCTCACTCCTGTGGGAAGGTGAAGTCGCCCCTGTGGTCCTGAGTCCTGCTGCGCCTTAAATGCAGGGTCAACAGATCCTGCCCCTTCTGCCCTCTCCCCACAGGGAACTTTGACTCTTCCCTGTGAGGCTCAGGCGGTTGACAAATTCATTACTCAGTGGACATGCTTGTTTGGCAGGGAGCCCACAGTCTGAAGACCTGCTGTGTCTTGGTCTAGCATCCACCGTTACTTTCAAAGATGAGCAGACTATTCAGACAAGAGCGTCAGGGGAGCGAAGCCCCCACCCCTTGGACAGCCAAGCTCACTCTGAAGAGCAGGGAAGAACTTCCAGGAGGTCATGGGGGTGGGGACAGCACAGCCACAGCCTGATGCCATTGATCCCAGTGTTATCAGCACAAAGCAGAGGCAAGGAGGCATCCCTAGATCGGAGGTGGGGTGGCCGTGATTTCCGAGGGTTCGGCCTCAGCTCAGGCTATGGAGGGACAGTTAATGGCCTATTGGCAAATTGGATCAACAGATGTCAGCACCGATGGCAACTAATGCAGGTAGACTTTGAGGGGAAGAGGGAAGCACAAAAACGTCATGAGGATAGGCATTTCAGCCGGTCCACTAGGAGCCTCTGAGGGATGCTATAAACCTCAGGGGTCAGATCCTGAACTCAGGCCACAGCTCTGGAGGGCGGCTTTGGCCATGATCTCAGTGCAGGCTCCACTTGACATTGGTATCCAGGGCATGGGAGCGGCAATTGGTAAGCAGGAAGATTGCTCCACTGGTCATTTTAAATCCATAGGCTACTGCAGAGGGCAGGGCCACCTGTAGAGCTGGCTGAGTTTGAGGGAAGCCCTGTTCCAGCTCTGCAGGGGCCGGTCCTGGTGTCAGGGGGCCTGGTTCCTGGTTAGCTGTGTGGTCTGTCTGTGGCAGCTGCAGATGGCATGGTGATCAATGATGGGTCCTCCCCTACCATGTTCTCCTCAGAACTCACTATAGTTCCCTGGGAATAGTTGGGGTATGACACCTGGTCAAGTCAGTTGGGACACTTGCTGAAGCTGGGGATGCCTGGGGAGGTGGGGGTCCCTGCGGAAGTGGGGATGCCTTGGGAGGTGGGCGTACCTAGGGAGTGGGGGTAGCTGGGGAGGTAGGGATGCCTTGGGAGGTGGAGGTGCCTGGGGAGATGGGGACGCCCAGGAAGGTGGGGGTACCTGGGGAGGCGGGGATGCCTGGGGAGGTGTGGCTACCTGGAGAGGTGGGAGTACCTGGGATATAGGGATGCCTTGGGAGGTGGGGGGATGCCTGGGAAGGCAGGGACACCTGGGGAGGAGGTGGGGACACCTCCCTGCTGGGACTATTGGGAGGATGAGGCGAGGTCATGTGTGCCTGGCATAGCTGTGCTTAGTGGATGCCACGTGGGCCTAACAACAATGATGCAGGTTTAGGGAGGTGCAGGTCGCTCCGACACACTCAGAAGATGGCTCAGCTGACAGCAGTCACTAACACAGCCACCGACGATGACCTTCAGTCACTTTCCCTGCCACCAAGGCCAAGCCAGTTGCAGGGCTGTCACACACTATGCCTAGCTGCCAGGTGAGCTGCTGGGCCTCATGGCTGCCTTCAGCTGGCCCTGTCCCCTGTGCCCACTATTAGCATTTACACCCATAGGTAAAGCCCTTGAGAAAGACATGGCAGAGCTTGACAACTTAGATAGGGCCAAACCCCTGGGAACTGAGGCTTTTCCATCTGGAAATAGAGGCTGGAATAAGATGGGTAGTTGGTCTAGCAGAGGTAAAGTACCTGGCACTAAGGGCCTGGCTTAGGGTGACTGTGACATTATAGACAGAAATGATGGGTGTGGATGTACAGACAGGTTCTACTTCTTTACCACATCCAAAGGTATGCGCCTTTGGGGAGCCTTTGAACTTGAAATGGATCATTTCAGGACAAGTACAGCTCTGCAGGGGCCGGTCCTGGTGTCAGGGGGCCTGGTTCCTGGTTAGCTGTGTGGTCTGTCTGTGGCAGCTGCAGATGACATGGTGACCATTTGACACAATGGCTTGTGATAAATGAACCCTGAGAGATGGAGGGACACAGACCAGCCATGGAATAGCCCATCAAGGACATGATAGTAACTATGACCACCTGCTCCTGCCAGGAGCCATGGTCTGTGCCTAGCGCCTTCCCCAGCAACCCCACAAAATGGGCCTTATTGATTATCCTCTCCTAGAGACCTAGAGACGAAGCTCAGAGAGGTATAGACATTTTTTTTTTTTTTTTTAATGAAGTCTTGCTCTGTCGGGCCCAGGCTGGAGTGCAGTGGTGCAATCTCAGCTCACTGTAACCTCGCCTCCCAGGTTCAAGCGATTCTCCTGCCTCAGCCTCCCGAGTAGCTGGGATTACAGGCACGCACCACCACGCCCTGCTAATTTTTTGTATATTTAGTAGAAACAGGGGTTTCACCATGCTGGTCAGGCTGGTCTCGAACTCCTGACCTCGTGATTCACCCACCTTGGCCTCCCAAAGTGCTGGGATTACAGGCGTGAGCCACTGTGCCCGACCGAGGTGTAAACCTTTACCCAAGATCACAGAGCTAGAAAGTAGCACAGCTGGATTCAAATCCAGGTTGGTTTGAGCCTAAACCTATGCCCTCCATGGCTGGTGACTCTAACTCCTACAAGGGTGTTGGCTGGCTTCCCTATCTACTTCTTAGGGTTAAAATCCTATAGTCCCTGTGAACCATCCAGTAGAGACACATGCTAGATGGATCTCACATTTGACCCGGGAAGACAGTGCTAATAATTTTCAGAATATTAAATGTTCAAGGTCAAGAAGGACAGTGTCAGGAAGAAGGATCAAACCCGTAGTCCTTATTCCAGGGCAGTGGTTCTCAACCTTGGCTTCACGTTGCAGTTACTAGGCCACATCTTGACCAATCAAGTCAGCCTGGGGCTGACCCAGGCCTCAGGAATTTGCCAAGTGCTGCAGGCGGAGCCACTGTCCTGGAGAGGGGGGTCTCTGCGTCCACTGAGGGGATTAGGACGATCATATTTATTGGTGGAAACTGAAGCGGCAGGGACTTCGGTTCTCCTAGAGAACCCCCTACTATTTCATAGGTGGAGGCCTGGGTGGTTCTGCAGTTCCTTAAACCACAGGGGAAAGTATAAATGAAACCCAACGACAGCTATTCATCAGAAAGAAAAGTCTTAAGCGAAAACGCTAAAAGATAATTTTTTGTTAAGTAATGAACACTCGTAAAACAGCAATGAAATGGTATTAAAATGTCTGTGATTACTTATTTCTCAGCATTCGTCTGGTAACTTAAGCAGCATGAAGCAAGAGTTGCACTTTAAAAAATGACAAGAAAATAGCTATTCATTTAGTCGACAGAGTAAGGCCCATCTCGTTTCCAGGATCACTAGTTTCTGCTTATGACGGGGTGAGCATCCGCCAGCGCGGTGATTGGGAGGCGCCCCTGTGTCTTTACGCTGAGGCAGTGCCCACGGCTGCAGTGCCTTGAGTTTCTGGAGCAACCGTGGGGCTCTTTCTTGAGGAGTCTTGGGAGGGGCGGTGGCCTGCCTCCCCATCCTAGATCAGTGAGGTCCCAAGAGTGCGTATTGCTGCGGGGTAGCTGTGGAGTGAGACACGTTCTGGAGTGGCTCGACATCTTGAGGCTGGGGTGGTGTGAAGGGAAAGGAACAGGGGCAGGTCCCGGGCTGGCTCTGCTTCCAGGGTCAGGCCAATGGGTCTGCAGAGCAGTGCAGCGGGGCTCCTGCCAGCCATGGTGTCACCTCTTTCTTCCCAGCCCCATTCTCATCTTGCAGGGAAGGCATGTGGACTCAGGAGGGGCACAAAGGACTCCAGCAGGGCCACAGACAGAAGAGTGATGTGTCCCTTGTCCTCTGCCTATTGCACCGTGTTCCATAAAAAATAAACACTTTTTTGGACTGTTTGTATATTGCTCATGCGGCGGCACTCTGGGCACTGGCAGGCTGCAGAGAGCTGCGCTGCCATTCATCCACCAGAATCCATCCAGAGACAGCCTTGCGGGCTGGGATCTTTGGAGCTTTCCTTTGGAAGGATTAGCAGTGCCCGTCTGTCTGGTGCTCTACACAGTGCTGTGAACATGAAATTAAAGGATAAAAACAAAAGAAATTCATGGGTAGGAAATCCCAGGGCTTCGTGGCGTCTTTTGGCGATCATTTGTACTGTACAGCATCATGCGGTATGTCTGCTTCCTCCACGTCCACACAGACCTGGCCCCGGGCGCTCCCCCTTCGTTCGCAGGAAGCTCACAGGTGGTTGTTCTTGGAGAGGTAGGCGATGAGGGCCACGGCCACGCCCACATAGACGCCAGTCCCAATGGTGATGGACAGCACTGCCAGGAACAGGGCCCGCCGGGAGCTGGTGCTGGCCTGGTGCAAGTCCCCCTTGGCCACGGCTTTGTTGGTCTGCAGAGTTGGAGAAGAAAAAGGAAGTCATGGTAAGCAAGTTGGAACAAGCAGTGAATGGAGGGCTCATCTATGGCTGCTGATTCAGAAAAAGGCATTGTCGATGCAGAGAAGGCTGAGGGGGAAACCGTGCTCACACCTGCTATGACCAGGGCAGTTCTCTAACTGCAAGAAACGAATGTGGGGCTGGGATCTGCTGCTGTTCCCCCACATCGCAGGGAAGACAGACTTCCTTTCTACTTGGCCCCAAGGGAATAAGAGAAAGCTGGGAGTAGCTCAACTGAGTTCCACCAGTGTGGGGTCTGGGATCTCCAGCACCAGTATTGAGGGATGGCCTAGATATGACTCCTCCAGTGCCGCTCTTTCTACCCAAGAACGGTGTGCTCATTTAGTTGAATAACTCGTAATTTTCTAAAGCATATTTCTACCTATCTGTTGAATCTCTGCTACCCACTGGAGGTGTGCAGAAGGCAATGACAGCTCTCATTTCCCCGAGAGAAACTCCGGCATAAGATCATGAAACCCACTGGAGGACGCCTGAGACCTTCCTCCTCAGCTGCCTTGCCTGCCATGGCCATGAGTCATTCACTTCCCGACCGTCCCCACCCTGGACATGGCTGGCGTTAGTAAAATTCATCCATCAATAAAATCATTTGATATAAAACTAACAGCTATATTCCTTAGTGCTCAATGACATAACCAGGTGTTGGTGTAATCAAATTCATGATTCTTGGGGTCATGAGGAGATAGAAACACGGAGGTTTTGGAGGCCACCATGGAGGCACCACCAGAGTAAAATGGCTCATTTGGCAGATGGGGTGGGAAGCTACCAAGGCACTGAGCCCCGGGAGCCCACGTGATGCTGAGGAGGGTCGACCCCAAGCCACTGGCGGGCCCCCTGTGGTCAGGACTACCTTGGCAGAATGTCCTAGCTCACTCTCATGGCCGTCTCTACAAAGCCAGATTTCTACCGGGTTCCGTTTCCACCTAAGGTCAGTGACATTCCTAGGTTTTATACGTGAGTATGGGAGTCGGCATGTCGTTCGCTCAAACACACCAACTGAAACATACCAACACCTCTTCAGTGGACCAGAAAGGCTCACACTCAGATGACTCATGACGTGAAC